AGCGCATCAAGGTGCACACGATGGAGTCGCTGAAGGACCCGGAGTACCGCTACCCGCAAACGTACGGCGTGGAAAAGTTCTTGGAGCTGTTCAGCGAGGAGGACTACGACGCCTTCTGTCTCGCCTACATGTTCACCTACCGGGACTTTGAGGGCGGCACGCTGGGCCTCGCCTGGACGGGCGACCTGAAGAACGCCGGTGGGGTGTGTGAGAAGAATGGCGTAAGTGCTTTAATCATCATTATCATCATTACCGGTTTCATCAATACCTCCTCCTCTTCTGTTCATTCATTCATTCATTGCAGCACTACCGCGGCAGCCTGAAGAGCTTAAACACGGGCATCGTGACGCTGCTCAACTACGGCAAACACGTGCCGCCCATTGTCTCACATGTCACGCTGGCCCACGAGATTGGACACAACTTTGGCTCACCGGTAGGTCTTTTTGGCTACTGCTGCTTTCACTACTGCTTTCACTACTGTGGATCGATCGATTCTGGCCAGATCTGACAACTATTACTTTTTTCCCCTTCACAGCACGACCCCGAGGACGATCACGCGTGCACTCCGGGTGGCGAGAACGGCAACTATATCATGTTTGCGAGGGCAACCTCGGGCGACAAGCGCAACAACAACAAGTTCTCCCCTTGCTCTCTGCGCAGCATCAACGCCGTCCTCAACACCAAGGCGAAGAGTCTGAAGGGCTGCTTTCAGGGTAGGCGGAACCATCTGTGATGGATTGATTTGAAGGCGTACTCATATCATGTCTTTTTCCCTTCAGAGCCCCAAGACGCCATCTGCGGCAATGAGGTGGTGGAGGAGGGCGAAGAGTGCGACTGTGGCTGGGAGGAGGACTGCAAGGAGCCGTGCTGCTTTCCAATGCGTNTCTGCGGCAATGAGGTGGTGGAGGAGGGCGAAGAGTGCGACTGTGGCTGGGAGGAGGACTGCAAGGAGCCGTGCTGCTTTCCAATGCGTGCCAATCCACCGCCCGATGAGCCGCCCTGCAAGTGAGTACTTGCCATTGGTTTCAGCAAACTTGAAACACATGCTCATTTAACTCTTTTCCTACCCTTTCAGACTTCGTCCGAACGTCATCTGCAGTCCCAGCCAGGGGCCCTGCTGTACGCAGGACTGCAAGCTGAAGGTGNGTGCCAATCCACCGCCCGATGAGCCGCCCTGCAAGTGAGTACTTGCCATTGTTTACTGCGTCAGATCATTTGAGATGCTCATTTAACTCTTTTCCTACTCAAATTGCAGACTTCGACCGAACGTCATCTGCAGTCCCAGCCAGGGGCCCTGCTGTACGCAGGACTGCAAGCTGAAGGTGGGCAATAAGTGCCGCGACGACAACGGCTGCCGGACGGCCAGCTACTGCAACGGACAGGGGCCGCAGTGTCCGCCCTCCACAAACAAGGCCAACAAGACCATCTGCAATGACGAGTACGTCTGCTACATGGGCGTAAGTACAACATCTTTTAGGCTATAAAAACTTGACTGGCATCTAATCACTGATTTATTTTCTGTCCAGGAATGCACCGGCTCCATCTGCATGGCCTACGGCCTGGAGTCCTGCCAGTGCAAACAGGGACCCAGTGATCCGCCGACGAAGCTCTGCGAGCTGTGCTGTCGAATGCCTTCCGACGACAGTACCTGCAAGTGAGTCCTTTCAAGTGTGCTTTTAAACGATTGTTCAGAACTAATTGAACCTCTGTCTGTCTGTCACCACCACCACCACCTCAGGTCCTCCTTCGAGTGGAACACCACCCCCTACGACGTGCCCGACCTGTACTCGAAGCCGGGCACGCCGTGTGACAACTACAACGGCTACTGTGATACGAGTCAGCGCTGTCGCGAGGTGGACCCGTCCAGTCCGCTGGCCACGCTGCGCCGCCTCTTCCTCTCCAACGAGAGCATGGCCAGTCTGAAGCGGTGGTTCAATGAGCAGTGGTTCTATGTGGCCGTCCTCGTCATGATCTCGGTGCTCATTCTCGTAAGTTCCCGTTTTGAACTTGTTCTTTTGCCCTGAGACTAACCTTTTCATTCTTCTAGTTAATGGCGTACAAGGTCTTCAACAATCGGCGCACCATCGGCGGCCTCACCAAGACGGACATCATGGAGGTGGCCCTGGAGGCGGTGGCCAAGCACCAGCAGGAGCAGGCACAAGCTCAAGCACAAGCACAAGCTCAGGCTCAAGCGCAGGCTCAGGCGCAGGCCCAAGCACAAGCTCAGCAGCAGCAGCAGCAGCAACAACAACAGTCGACGACGACCTCCTCTTCAGGCGCAAACAACAACAACAACAACAACTCGTCCTCGACGAGCGCATCCACGGTCACGCAGGCCACCAACACAGGGTCCGATTCAGTGTCGCAGGCGTCAGGAGGAGGTGGAGGGGGAGGAGGCAATGGCAACAAGGATGCCAAGGCCAACTCTGCGAGCAGCTCTGCCGGCTCAACCTCCTCGCCGACGTCGAGCACGACGCTGAACACTGCCGCCAGTGCCTCCACGCAGTCCACGCAGTTGGCCAATGGAACTTCTGCTTCTGCTGCTGGCAGCGGCAACAATGCTAATGGCACTGCCAACAGCTCCGCCAAATCGAGTCTGATCTCAACGCCCAATCAGCAGCAGCACAACCACGGTCACAACCACGCCACCAATGGCAGCAGTGGTGGTGGTGGCAGCGGAACCAGTGCCAATGCATCGGCAGCCTCGGTGCAGCAGATGCACTCAANGTGGCCCTGGAGGCGGTGGCCAAGCACCAGCAGGAGCAGGCACAAGCTCAGGCACAAGCTCAGGCTCAAGCACAGGCTCAGGCGCAGGCCCAAGCACAAGCTCAGCAGCAGCAGCAGCAGCAACAACAACAGTCGACGACGACCTCCTCTTCAGGCGCAAACAACAACAACAACAACAACTCGTCCTCGACGAGCGCATCCACGGTCACGCAGGCCACCAACACAGGGTCCGATTCAGTGTCGCAGGCGTCAGGAGGAGGTGGAGGGGGAGGAGGCAATGGCAACAAGGATGCCAAGGCCAACTCTGCGAGCAGCTCTGCCGGCTCAACCTCCTCGCCGACGTCGAGCACGACGCTGAACACTGCCGCCAGTGCCTCCACGCAGTCCACGCAGTTGGCCAATGGAACTTCTGCTTCTGCTGCTGGCAGCGGCAACAATGCTAATGGCACTGCCAACAGCTCCGCCAAATCGAGTCTGATCTCAACGCCCAATCAGCAGCAGCACAACCACGGTCACAACCACGCCACCAATGGCAGCAGTGGTGGTGGTGGCAGCGGAACCAGTGCCAATGCATCGGCAGCCTCGGTGCAGCAGATGCACTCAAAGAGCTCCATTGACTCGCAGCACTCATTGCTCGATCAGCACGCTTACGGCTTCAACGGAAGTGGTAGTGTCACTAATGGCCACAACAACAACAACAACGGCTCTGCCATGGACAGCTCCTTCTCCGGCTCAATGTCCTCGGCAATGTACAACATTCCGCCGCCTTCCGCCTCCGCCTCTTCTTCTTCTAAGGCAAACAACTACCTGGAGAGCCAGTCTGCCGCCGCCGCCGCCGCGTCACTGTACGGCACAATGAAGAGTGCTCATCACCATAATCATCACACTGGTGCAGGAGGAGGAGGAGGAGGACACCAGCAGTTCTACGGGAGCACTTCAAAGCATTCCAGTGCCGCCNTCGGTGCAGCAGATGCACTCAAAGAGCTCCATTGACTCGCAGCACTCATTGCTCGATCAGCACGCTTACGGGTTCAACGGAGGTGGTGGTAGTGTCACTAATGGCCACAACAACAACAGCAACAACAATGGCTCTGTCATGGACAGCTCCTTCTCCGGCTCAATGTCTTCGGCAGTGTACAACATTCCGCCGCCTTCCGCCTCCGCCTCTTCTTCTTCTAAGGCAAACAACTACCTGGAGAGCCAGTCTGCCGCCGCCGCCGCCGCGTCACTGTACGGCACAATGAAGAGTGCTCATCACCATAATCATCACACTGGTGCAGGAGGACACCAGCAGTTCTACGGGAGCACTTCAAAGCATTCCAGTGCCGCCGCCGTGCCGCCTCAGTCGAACACGATCATGTCGCTGCAGCAGCACTCGGTGGCAGCGGCAGCTGCTGCTGGAGCTGCAGGCCTTGACGCCGGCACCGGTCTCTACAACCATCCCTTTAGTGGTGCAGGTGCCGCTGCTCACGGCGGCTCACTCTACGGCTACACTCGTCACGGCGGAGCTGGTGGCAGTGGTCTTCAGGCGACTTCAGGTATTGGTGTCGGTGGCCACCATCATCACCACCACCACTCGATTCCCTCGCTCTACCAGCCGTCAATGATCTACCAGCAGCCATCGGCGGCACTGATGGGCAGTGCTCAACCGGGAGGAGGAGGAGGTCACTTCTACGATTCATCGGCGCTGGCACTCGTTCAGCAGCAACAACAACAGCAGCAGCACCTTCATCAGACGTACGGCACTGCTGCAGTTGGTGCCGCCGCTGGCTATCATCACCTTCAGCCTGAGCCGACTTATGGCACAGCAGCGGCAGCAGCCGCTTACTACTACCCGACGACTGCTTCAGCTGCAGCCCTAGGCAGTGGTGGTGGAGGTGGTGGTGGTGGTAGCAGTCGACAGCTGCACAACTATCACCACTCGGCGGCCTCTGCGGCGGCGGCCGCCTACTGGAACCAGTCCACCTCGCTCTACGACTACATTCCCTTTCCCCGGCCGGTCAATCCGCCGGCACCTGCACCACCGCAGAGTGCTACCGCTAATAGTGTCTCCTCCTCTTCATCATCGGCCATCGGACCGAAGCCACCGCCGCTGCCCTCAATGGCCACACATCCCAGTGCAGCTGCTGGAACGGCTTCCACTTCCATCAGCTCGGGACGCAGCAGCAGCCGCGACAAGGACCGTCGGTCGCAGCTGGATCTGCTGTCCAGCGCCAACAGCAGCAACAGCAACACACTGGACACTCGCCGACTGTACTCTAGCTCGCTGGTGGAGGTACCAGGGTACAACAGCAAGGACTACTACGATGTGGGCGGGCAGCAGGGTGCTGAGAAGAGCGGAGGTGGCCACCATCACCACCACTACTACTACCAGCAGATCTACGGCACTGGTGCTGGTGGTACTTCAAGTGGCTCAGGCAAGTCCTCAGCAGCACTGGCCGCTTCACAGCACTACGGCACTGTGCATCGAGGTGCCACTGCCGCCAGTCTGCACAATCATGGCCTGCAGGCGGGCACCTCTGCCTCCGCCGCCGCCCCCTCGTCATCGTCCTCCACTTCAGCGGGCAGACACTACCAGCACTACTACCCATCGGCTTCAGCTGCTTCTGCTTCAAGTGCTGCTGCTGTCGCCGCCGCGATCGCTCCAGTTCACCATCACAGCCACCACGGCTCCTCTTCGGCGTCCAGCTCGCATCATCGTCAGCAGCTGCTGCACCACTCCTCCCATCCGCAGCTGCTCAACACCAGCTCGCTCAGTGTGGCCTCGAGGGCATCGCCCGGTGCCGCCAGCTCTTCCATTGCCGTTGAGCCCATCTACGGCAGCAGTGGAAGTGGATCTCACGGCCACGGTGGTGGTAGTCGCCGATCAGCTGCAGCTGGCCTGCATCAACATCAGCACCAGCAACATCAGCAAATCTACGAGCCACTGGCGCTTCCACTGAGCTCTCTGGGCCACTACTCAGCCAGTGCTACTGCTGGTGGTGCCGGTGGCGGCCACTACTCGCTGGATCATTCCGCACTTAGCGGTGGTGGTGGTCATCACAGCTCTCATCACGGCCAGCACCACAATCACCCGGCTGCCACTGCCTACTACAGCACCCGATCGGACGTCTTTGCGGCCCATCACCACGAATCGCTGCCGCCCTTGGGTGCTCTCCTTCCTGGTGGCGGCGGCGGCGGCGGTGGACTGCACCACTCCAACAGTTTCCACGGCCACCTCGACGACTTTGACCACCTGATTGCGGCGGCCAGCCAGCGAGCCGATGATGCCGTCTCCGATAGCAATGTCGGCCTCTCCAGTGGCCATCACCACAAGAGTGCTGGCGGTGGTAGTGGTGGGCACTCTTCGAAGAGTGTTGGTGGTGGCTCCAGTGGCTGGGTCTAAGATGGCCGCGCTGGAACACACTTTCCCATCCCTCAGTCTCTCTCTCTCTCTCTTTCCCAAACCTGTGCAATACTCACACACACACATTCGTGTATGATGATGATGATAACTTTGTTGACGAAATAAAGGACATTCTTTCGTACTAAAAGAGGCGCTCTCAGTTTTCAACTGATGAGTGGCACTCGATGAGTGGTGATGGTGGTGTGCTGGTGGTGAGTGGTGAGGGCGCTCGCTCTCACTTTCAGCTGTACAGTGCTGCCAGAGCAGCGTCAGTCCACTGGCAGACACCGACCAGAGCAGACGTCGTCGTCTGATCGCTGTCTGCCAGTGGACTGGCTCTGCTCTGGAAACATCGGCCAGACATTGGCCCGCCTCAAGACTGCTCTCCTTGCCGATGGTGTCCACCTCGCCAGCGCCCGTCTCCCGGATCATCATTTCTTCTTCTCTTCATCATCGCCGACTTCTTCTTCAGATAAGTATTTTGGTTGTTGTTGTTCAGTTCTCGATACTTTGTGTAACCCTTTTGTTTTTCTTTGCAGATCTCTTTGGCGCACTCTTCCAAACAGTGCCGATCATCACCATCGCCATCACCATCATCATCTGCCTGCCTGTCGACTGGAGGACGACCAAGGA